CACAATGCTATTGCTCTATTGTTTTTTGTTTGGTTTGTTGGGGTGGTTTTTTTGATAGATCTGCAGTGCCATCTGTTTTCCTCCAATTTTCTAGTACCTTGGCTAAGGGCGTCCCCTTCTCTGTGCCGGGTACATTCCCCATATCTGTATGCCAAGTTTGTGCGCCTTACACTGATCAGGCCATGCACACCTCTCCTAGCGCTCTTCTGAAGTGGGACTCTGTGGAATAATTACTAAAATGATCAAAAATACAGCATTGTTCGCACATTAAGGAAAGATATAAAATCAAAAGGTTTCTAGGGTAGACTCTATCCCATAGAGCATAGAGTATGGGCCCAGCAAAATGGAAGTAAATGGCAAACTGTTGATGTTGATGCATGCATTGTGCAAGAACAACAAAGGTTTATCTGTGAAAATAACACCATCAAAGCCCAAGGCATCTGCCTCGATACAGAACAAAACATCTGAACATTTGAAATACACCCCAACAAAAAACCTGAGACTGTACTTGTATATACTGGAAAAAGATGTGTTTGTGTGAGAACCCCTTGTAATTTTGTGTTCGTAGATGATGTTAGTGTAGATACAAGTAATCACTCAAATCTTTGTGTTTGTAACTTTACTAACGTTATACATCTTATCAATTGCTACAGTCTAACTACATGCTGATTCGTGATTTATTACTTACCCCTATCAGAATGAATCTCACCTTGGTGAAGAAGCTGTTACAACATGACTTGAAGCGGTTGTTGAAAGAGGCCCAAGAAGATGGACAAAGAACTCTCATTACTGTCCATCATGACGTCAAAGAGATACGCCAAGTGTTGTAAAGAGTAAAAAAAGACGGAAGACATGAATGGTGGGACACTTTTTTTGGATGGTTGCCAACAGCTACAAGAATCTTTAACAAGATGGTCCATCCTGTGGTTATTTTACTAGTACTCACTGCATTGTGCTTTGCTTTGACAATTGCTTTGTATGTTAAACTCTAAATTATGATGAAAAGCTTAACTTGCTTGATCGCTCCGCAAGATGTATTTGTACTTGATAACCCTCACCACAAAAGCACATGTGATATTCCCAATCAGCTTTGAATATTGTGGAGCTTGAGTGACTATAGTCACGGGGTGGAATATGTGGAATAATTACTAAAATGATCAATAATACAGCATGCGAAGAATCTGCTACATCTGCGATTCACTGTACAATATTGCTTGCAAAGCAACATGGGGAGTGGAATGGGGTGGAGATTCCATGGCCAAGCCCTGTGATAATACAGCAAATATGGGAACGAGATGGTACTATGGAACTGATAAGCTGCCTACTTGTTACCCTGAGCCAACAGTTTGTCACTTTTTGACAAAATGCTGAATGAAAGTATTTATGACTAGAGTCACTCAAACTCCACCTTGAAGATAAAAATTAGTGTAAAAATGGCCCAAGAAAGGAGGGATGTTAGGGAAGACACCATCGTGAACAAGTCAAAGAGAACTCCATCACTGACTGCTTTGACTTCTGGGATCAGTCGATGGGCTGGGCCTCTCTTCCCCCCCATAAGGACACTTGTGAGTAAGATTCAAACACTTGGCTATACCAAGTGCTTCCCCGGGAAACTTAAAAATCTCTATAGAGTTGTTTTATAACTTAGCGCTTTTGTGACCAAGCTATATTACTGACATCTTCAGCATTTGTACGTGCTTTGCAGACAGTCACTATCACCGGCAATCCAAAAGAACTTGTGTATCTGTTGTTTAAATAAACTGCCCTGTGTAGGCAGCTAGTCATTTGGGTTTCTCATTGAACGCGACCAAAGAGCGGCTGTGCTAGTTCATGAGCACGACTAGGCTGAAGGTGCAGTTTAATATATTAAACGTGCCTGGACCGATAGTGGTGGATTGGGCATCACTCAGAATTTAAACCTATCCGCACCTACCCTCCCACCTCAGTGAGGAGTGTTAGAACACAAGGGGGTTTATTTTCTGCCAAAACTACTTTGCTCCTTTAACGCAACAGACTCGAACCCACTCAGACTCAAAATACTTAGAATATGGTAGTGGAATTTTAGCATACACTGATGCTTAGAATTTAGTAGCAGAATTTTAACACTCACCAGTTGGCATGTCCTGTCTCCAAAGTTCCCAGGTGAATTCACCCGATGCTGTCAATTGGACATTTGGAGACGAGAGAGTTTGACATCCATCAGTGCTTGCCTAGAGTCCCACCTGGGTCGCCAAACTGTTATGGAAATTATGCATGCCAGCCACCATAACAGGGTTTTACTCTAGGTTTCCCCATAAGCCAAAAGACAGATTCCGTTATGAAAGTACTTTTTATTAATAGCATTACAGCTCGAGCTGGGTGCCTCTGAAGAGGGACCCCGAACAAAGAAATCCCTGGGCAAGTATACCCTTACAGTCTAAGTTCCCCACCCCTCATGTGATAGTTCAGACCAACGGTAATATTAAGGTCTGGGGTCTTTTGCTTTTTTATTGGTTCAATTTGTTTGCTGTTTCATTACTAAGCGGTTACTAAGTGGTCATCTTCTTATACAATATCACATCCTCTTAGGTTGGTTTTGGCCGATTCTGTAGTTAGCTATTCAGCATTTGTAATACAGTTGTTACAGTTCATATGTCATGATCTATAGGCTTTGTCTACTCTATTTACTATTAATGTTTAAGCTGCTAGCTCTAAGTTTCAACTAACTTTCTCTACAACAAGCCCTGGGGTTTCCCCTCTCGCTGAAGTGTGCAGGAAACCTGGCCCTGCTCAGAGGAGGCAGTGTCCTCTGGGAGCATTGCCCTCACCAGAGCAGGGGGAGGAGTGGGAAAGCAAAGGCAGGGAGAGGGATTGAAGGCAGAGAGGTGTAGTGGGAGACCAGGGACCTGCTGCCGGGGCCGGGAGCACTGGCCTTGCAGAGGTCTGTTTGCTGCTAACATTTCCCTTCCATTCATGTGGGGTTTTTTTTCTCCTTTTTCAAGATCCTGACCACAGTCACTGGAGCTATGAAGGTAAATATCCTGTAGTTACTCCTGCTTTTTTCCTATCACCTGTCAGATCCTGGGCCTGAGCCAACTGTAGTTAATGATTACAGGGCTCTTGTGCACACTCTGTGGCTTTCCCTTCCCTCCTGCCTGACCCTGCCAACTCAGCAGTGTCCGAACCTGGGCACAGATGGGCTGAAGAGCTGGGGGTTGCTCTGATTTGAACAGGAAGCAGCAGCTGCACCAAGCGCCCCTTGGGTGTGGGGGGGGGATGCCCCTCAGGACAGCTCCTCCCTGAATGGGCACTTGCCTGATCCTATGCCAAACTGGGAAGCAGGCTGGGCTCTCCAGGCTGGTCTTGCAGCCTGTGCTGGTACTTTGACCTGCTCAGGGATTAGCTTGCATCCTCACCTCTTCCCTCTGTCCCCCACCCTCCCCATCCTGCCTGGCCCTGCTCTCCCACCATGGCTTGGGGAGCTGTTCCACAGTACTTGTGATGGGCATCACTGCAGCTCGAGCATAAATGTACTCCTTCCCACCACAGTGGTGGGCCAGGCCCTGGCACCATCACTCTGCTTGGGACCAGGGGCTGGCTCGGACCTGCTAGGTGCCCACCCAGTCTTTACAGGAGTCCTATGAGGGGCTGGCGAGGTGAACCTGGGCTTACATTGGCCCAAGGTGTACTAGAAGCAGCCCCTGTGGTGCGAGCGGAGGTTTTGGGGGCATCAGCCATGCTTATCCCAGCTATGGTGCTGCAGGGAAGCAGCAATTTAAGCAGTCACCCCAGCCATGTGAGCTGGCCTTTTGCAAGGCTGTACCAGCACAGCTACAGCTGGGAACCAGTCAGACCTGTGGCTGTGGACTCACATGATCCCAGCAATGTTGTCTTGTAGTTAGAAACTTAGCCATTTTTCTTAGTATTAAAGTTGTTAGCATTAAAGTTAGTTAGGCCTGTTAACTATTGGCATTAGATGCATTTCTGATACAGGGTCTTGTGTACGACCATTTTGTTACATACTTGGCCAGATGGTCGGCCTTGGGAATGTTTCTTCACAAGTATCTGGGCTAATTAGTAGATGAACTTTTTGAGACATTCTCATGGATAATGAGAATTCTATCCTTGAGTCATATGAGAAAGAACGCCTAATCAAGGAAAGCAAGTATTGTTGTCGTTCTTTGAAGTGAAACATCCTGGAACAGATGAGCATACGAACCTTGAGGATGTTACTTATCTACCATGTTTTGAAAGGCCTAGCCAACTTGGCAGAAAAGTGAAAATTCTGGGTGTCCTAAACTGAACTACCTTCGTTATAATACTAAAAATCATGCCCATAGGCCAAGAAGACCCTTGCCCAGGTGAAGACACTTCCCTTGCACAGGCGCAGTAACTGAGGAGAATGACATAACCAATATTATAATCATATGTAAATTACTAACCAATCATTGTAACTAGGAGTGTGCTACCTTGCAAGTTTTGTGTATAAATACGACAAGAAAGCCAGCATGGGGTGTGCATGATTTGTGGAAATATTCCACCGTGCACCCCGGCCAGAATAAAGCAATGTCTCCTCTCTAAACATAGTCTCTGTGTTTCGGGAGAATTGGGACTTAGACCTCTTTTTCAGGTAACAGCAGCACTGTGGCACCTCGCTCGTGGGGCTCAGGTAGCAGAGCAGGCAAAGTGGTAGGTAGATACCTGCCAGAGGCCAGGCTGTGCAAGGCAGCAAGCATATGATGAGCTGCAGGGCAGCAGCTCCTCAGCCTGCCAAGTCCATTTGTAAATGATCTTCTTACACTCTTCCCAAACACCCCTAAAATAGACCTTCCTGGCAGCTCACCACTCTCCAAGACCTTTCCTGATACAGCTGCATGCAGTTACATGGTGGCACAGAGCTGCTCCCAAGCTAAATTTGCGTGCATGGATTGTTCCCTGGCCAGTGCCCTTCCCCACTACCCACCAAACCTCCTTTCTGGCAGGCTCCTTGCCTGGGTGGTCTCACTGGCGCTCCCTCCCAGTACCAGACTGGGAGCGCTGGGGTGTGGACTACCCGGCCCGCGTGGGCACCATTCAGTCACCCATCAACATTAACACAGCCAGGACCATCTTTAGCCCCCAGCTGTGGCTGATCCAGCTCTCTGGCTACAGCCTGCCAATGAGAAGCTCAAGTTGAGGAACAGAGGGTACACAGGTTTGGTGCAAAGGCAGTAGCAACTAGGACCACCATCCCCAGCTGTGGTGCGGTGAGTGGGAAGGAAATGGGTACCTTGCCCTGGTAGCTAGTGAGATAGAGCTGTCCTGTGTATACAGCAAACTCAACAGGTTGGATCAGCCACGCAGTGCATGCACAGAGCTTTATGTTATTGCCTCCTGCCCTACCGTGCCTGTAGAGTTAAACTAGTTGCTATTTTAGACACCCTGGAATCTGGTGTTGCTTGGTGTTCAGAAAAGAAGTCAGAGCATTTTCATGGCGGGGGGAGAGAGTACTTTCTCACGTGCTTCTGTGTTTTTTTATTCCGGCAGCTGCTGGTCTGCTTTATGAAAAGCCATAAATAAAAATTTGCAAGTCTACTAAGATATTTGTAGAGTTACTCCTTTTTGTAATATAAAGTATATATACTGTGTAAGCTTTTGCAAGGGCCTGAAAATGACTCTAGTAACTAGTAAAAGGAATGTACTGATTTAGATATACAAAAGAAATGTAAAAGCAGATAAATTCCCGGGGGGGGGGGGGGGGGGGGGGGG